CTGACCACCTTGTTCCACCTGAGCCCCATTTTCCAGATGGGGGGACCCAGGGTCACAAGATCCTATGGGGCTAGGGCAGGAGCAGCTGACCTGAGGAGACCCCAGCCCTGTGGGGGGGAGAAGTGCCCTGTGTAATTATTAATCCTGTGGTACAGGCACTGGTCACTCATTGACTCACGAGGCCAAAGTCTGTGATCAAAGGACTGAGGCTGCGCCAGGCTTTTCTTAGCAGTTGCCTCACCCCTGTGGTTCCCTTCTGGGGTGGCTCTAGCCCTTGGCCCTCCCTGCTGGCCAGGGACCAGCTCTCACGAAGGCTGAGGATTCCAGGTTCCCCGTGGCACTCTAGGGCTCTGGCTTCACCATTCCAGCACTGAAGCTCTGACTCCAATCTCTCATTCCAACTTCTGGACTCCAGGTTCTGAACTTGAGCTCTTGGCTGCTTGTCCTAAGTCTGGGCTCCAGGTTCCAGCTCCAGGTTTTGTGTACCAGCTCCAAGCTCTAGTTCCACACTCTGGGAGTATTTGGGACGCTTCTGGATTCCTTCAGCCCCTCAGTCATCCATCACCTCCTGGGCTAATAGGATCCTCCCTGCCCACTCATCTTAGCTGGCCAGGACTTCAGCCTGGCCGCTAGCACTGCAGGCTGTGCTGGAGGTGGGATGCTGGTCCATAGACACAGACCACATGGAGTGTGCCCATGTGGTTTTCTACCTCCACCTTTCCCTCGGGTCTGTTCTCTGGAGACGGGAGCTGAGATGGTCTCGGAGGACCCCTGCTCTGACCTTGAGAGGTTACAAGACCCATGCACACATTCATGTACCCACCTCTTCTTGGATCCCCCAGGGCCACCCCATAAGTAAATGGCGCCCCCTGCAGTTGTGCAGCCATGTGGGCGAGTGCCCAGCCAGAGCTCTGATCATTGTAAGCCCGTGTGTGTGTTCTTCCCATGTAAGCTTTTGTTTCCCTGTGGAAGCTGAAGTCCAGTCTCCAATTGCCCAGAAGCTGGAGTCACCTGATCTGTCAGTCAGGCTCCCCTACTGGGTGCACCTTGTGCTCACCCATGAAGGTAGGGGTGACTGCCCCAGGGAGCACAGACCCACAGCTGCGTCAGCACTTCAGCTGGGCTTCAGGTAAGTAGCCAGTGCTGCTCCCTGCCCCCACCCTGGCCCACAGCCGAGGTCAGCGTGTGCCTTGTGCTCGCTCACCCTGGGCCCCTCTATATCATCCTCTTCCCTGGCCTTGAGGCCCTGAGGTTGGGAGGGGTTGAGGGGAACAAGAGAGATAGCAAGATTCTCTTTTGGGAGCTTGGTGTCAGAGGGATGTGCATCTCACCTGTTCCCAGCCAGCCCAGTGTCCTCTGTAAGATGAGGTGCTGGAGGCTGCAGGGTGGTCCACAAATGTGGGCACTGGGTGGACAGGCCAACTACCCTCCCACCTTGAGTGGAGAAGAAGCAGTTCTGCTACTTTTCTGGCCACCCAGGAGTTGAGTTCCATGCAGTGTGATGACTGAGGGGGTCCCCCTATTCTGGGGCCCCAGTACCCTTTGCTGCAAATGAGGCAGGCCTGGCTGGAACAATAAGGACTCAGGGCCTCTAGGGATTATGAAAAGCAGGTCTCTCTCAGTCCAAGGCAGCTTCAAGGGCGTGTTGGGAGGGGGGATCATAGCAGAGGGCACACATCCAGCCGAGCAAAATGGGCCCAGAAGTGCAGTGGGTTGATCTCCCAAAGAACAACTAGGTTCTCTTTCTGGAGAAAGGGGTGGTAAGAAGTGGCCTTGGGAAGTTCTTTGTGTGATAACTATTTTTAATTGCATCCTTAAAAAGTATTAAGGTGGGCCCTCCCTGGTGGCGCAGTGGGTTAAAGCACAGCACTGTGATGCTCTCCATAGCCACTGCAGCACGTGTTTGATCCCTGGCCAGGGAGCTGACCCACATGGCACAGCAGACCCCTCCTGACTTGCCTGCTGCTCCCTTCAGCAGTGTATTTCCGTGGATCTGCCTGTTCTGCTCCCCACTCTGTCTCTGGTGAATCCTCTCACCCACCCCACCCCGCAATTCTGGCCTGTACCCCAGGTCTTATGTGCATAAATAATAAATCTTTTTTTAAAAATTATTAAAGTCAGGGCCCTCCCTGGTGGCGCGGCGGGTTAAAGCACAGCACTAAGAAGCTTAAGCCAATTCCGCATGAGTTCAATTCCCGCCTGCCCCAGAGATCCACACCTCTCCTGAGCCGCCCGCTGCTCCCCTCAGCAGTGTACTTTGTAGATCTGCCTGTTCTGCTCCCCACACTGTTTCTGGTGAATCCTCTCACCCTCTGCATCTCTGGCCTGTACCCCAGTTCTGTATGAATAAATAAATAAATCTTTAAAAAAATTATTAAAGTCAAGGGAGACTCTTTTGACCATGACCTAATCCCGATCTTTCCTGTGAGTTTGACATATCCTTCTAGAACATTCTTTCACCTGTCTGTGCACTTACAAGTGCCCGTGTATTTGTTGTTTATATATAGACACCATGCATATGCATTGCTCCGCTTTCTTTTACCAAATAATAGCACATCTTGGAGAACTTTCTAACAGAAAAAACACAATATGTGATTTTCCATCTCTTGTGTGGTGTAGCAGAGCATCACCATGTGTTCTATGACCTCACACCCCGCCCCTGTCCACACTGGGCTGTTGGCCAGTTTGTGGGTCATAGACAACCCAGCAGGGATGGGTTGTGTTTTTAATTTTTAGCAGAAACTCCCAAACTGTGGCCCAATGTAACCATGTCAATGTACCCTCCTCCCCTGAGGGGGCCCAGGACCCCCATTTGGGAGGTCTCTGCAGCATCTGGGCCCTTTTGGGCATATGCCTTGGGTCAGATAACCTGAGTGCTAGTGAAGCTCTGGTGACAATTCCCTGAAGGATCCCACTCTCTGAATCTTCCCTCCTGAAGTCCGCAGGGTATTTTGTTGTGAAGTCAAAAGTGAGATAAAGGATGGAGTGGGTCTAACTTGGGGACGTTGGTTGCTGTGAAGCTGCCCCCTGCAGGGGTCCACCTTTGTAGGGTCTCTTCTCATGGGCCAGTCTCCTTAGGAAAGGGAGTCTGTACAAGGATGCGCTTGGCCTACAGGATCTTCCAGCTTTGGGAAGACCCCTGTTCTCACCTGGTGTCCATACCTCTCTGTCCTAAGGAAATGGAGGGTGTCTCTTCCCACAAGAGAGAAAGCCCAGGAGGTTCTGTAGCTGACCAGAGGACGACATATCTGGTCTCCATACCGCCATCTCTGACCATAGACTGTAACCCTGATGCTGTGCAGCCCCCTAGTCAGGACCCCAAATGCCTTGCTGTCCTTTGCTGGAACTCTCTGAAGCTGCAGCATCATCTGTCAGTGTGAGGGGACAAAGCAGTGATACGATGGGCAAGGTCCCTGCCAACAGGGCGCACACATCAGATCCCCAAAGAAGCACGAATAAGTCACAAGGTCTTTCTTAGGGTGGGCTGAGTGCAGTGAAGGAAGAATCCTGGAGAGAAGCCGCCAGAGACGGGAGGCTTATAAACAGCAGGTATTTATTTCTCACAGTTCTAGAGGTTGGAAACCCAGAGATAAGGGCCCTTATGGGTTCTAGGTTGCCAAATTCTCTCTGTGTCCTCGCTGAGCAGAAAGGGTGAGGGAGCACTCCAGGGTCCCTGCCATAAGGGCTCTAACCCATTCGTAGGGGCTCAGCCCTCATACCCTGCTGACATCCCGAAGGCCCCACCTCCCACTACTGGGGGTGAGATGTCAACATATGAGGTTGGGAGCACAAACACTAAATCTATAGCATCTGTAACCAGGGGAGGCTCCTCTGATGTGTTCAGACTGAGTCTTCAGTGAAGCGGGCTTTGTGGACGTGGGTCCAGCAACCCCGCCCAGAGCTGCCAGCACACATGTATCAGAAGAATGTGCTGGCTCGCCTAACCAGGAGGTCCGGGCTTGCTGGCTTCAGGCATGACTGAATCAGCCACCTGGGTCGGTTTTCTGGGGCATCCTCTCCCGGCTCACGCCTGGTCTCCTGTGTGGGCTTCATTCCCATCAGCTTCATTTCCTGCATGTCTTTTCTATACATCCCCAGTAGATGGAAAACATGATGGGAGTTGGGATTCGGGCTGCGCTAGAGGTCTTCTGTGACCCCAACTCTGATTGGCCGGGCCTGGGTTATGGAACAGCCCAGCCAGCAGCCAGGGGGCCTGGATACCACATCCCAAAAGGGAGGCTGAGGAGACAGTGGGCTAAAGCACCCCCAGCCCCAGGAAGGCTTGAGCTCCACTTCCAACTTCCCTAGAAAGGTACTGGGAGCCAGTGATGCCCACAGATGTCAGCCAGGAATTTCAAGGTTGAAGAGTCAGTCACAGGATGGGGGCAGAGAGACAAGTGAGCGGGGAGGAGGCCTCACTGCCGGTGGCCTCTCAGGCGTGGCTATGTGTCAGTACAGGCTATGTCTGATTTCTCTGCCCGTAGGCTGGGCAGTGGGGGGGGGGGTGTCTCCCCTGCAAGGCTCCAGCTCCCCTGGCTGTCTGGGGGACAAAGCAGGCGAGGGGAGGAGCCTGCCCCACCACAGCCACCAGTGTCTCCCAAGGCTTCTGTGCCTCCAAACGGGCCTGCCGTAGGTCTGCAGACACACTCGGTCCCCAGGACTGTAACCAGAAGATGCACGGAGACCCAGAGGCTGTGGGGCAGCATGGAAACGCCTGAGGGGCAGGGTTCCCCAAAGGAACCTCACCCCTTACACCCTCCCTCCCTCTTGCTGTCTCTGTCTCTCGCTCACACCCCATGTTCTGTGCAGTCAGGAAGACAGGTTCTGACAACAGGAAGTGAGGGGGGCACATCCTGAAGTCCTCAAGAGCTTCCTGGCACTGACCCTGGTGACAGAGACAGTGCGGTTTAGGGTGGAGGGACACAGGGTAGACTGTTATGTAAGAAACACACCTCATGGCAGAATAATAATAATAATTATAATAATATTAGTATCATACATCCAGGACAAACCCAGCTGCCCCAAGCCAACCGCAAAATCCGTATGTACAGTAGAGTCGACGTAGGTAGAGGGAGGGGCTGCCCACCTGCCTGCACCCCAGCTGCACTCATACCAGCTCCCTGAGGAAGGGCCAGCCCCTCCTCCTGCTCCCCGCTGAGGCTCGGCACCAGGAGGGGAGGCTGGCACTGCCAACGCCACCCCTTTCTGTTGAGCATGCCTGTGTGGGGACTAGATCCACCTCCCCGCAGTGGGCTGGCAATAAGGGGTGGTGGGGGGCCCGTGAGAGACCACGCGGTGGCAGCTGAACCACCTCCCCAGCCATCCCAGCCCTGCCCTCGGGCCTGCCCGTGGCAGGAAGGGGCCAGGGACATTCATGGCACAAACAGGGCATGCAGAGCGGGCCCACGGCATGCTTGGCCCATGAGGTGCCATGCAGCGGGCCTGGACTGTTGGGCAACAGTCAGAGGGCTGAGTGGGCGGTGGAGTCCGAGGAGTGTCCTTTGGGCTGGGCCGCTGATTCAGTCTGTGGTGGGGCTTCCTGGGAGCTGGGCCCTTGAGCAGGCAGCTGCAAAAATTCTGGAAGCACCAGGTCCTCTTTGCGCAGAAGGCCTCTCTGGTCATGGGCCCCACTGCTCTGTACCCGGTTCAGCAGCTCCACCAGGCCTGGGGATGGCCACAGAATCAGGTGTCACCTAGCAGATCTGCCCGGGCTAGCCCACCACTACCCACCACAGTCCTGCTACCCTAACCGCCTCCCTGACGGGACACCTGTGCCCCCTCTCATCCCTTAGTTCACTCCTGGTCCCCCAACTCCAGTGGACCCTCGTCCTCGTATCCCAGCCCCAATGGCGTCCAGTACCCTGCTTTAGCTCAGGCTTCTGTTGCCACCCATTGCAATGGTGTCCAACACTTCTGGTCAAAACCCCCCTCCCCCCCGTTACTTCCACTCTACCTTCAATGTCACATGTCTGCCGCTTCCCAGTGACACTACTGGACGCCTCGGCCAGCGAGTTGAGGGGTGGTAGAGAAGGGTGGGCTGCCTTGTTCTGGGTTCTAGGTGGGTCACCCTGCGAGAAGATGTGGTCAGAGTCACAGCTGGGGGTGGAGGGCATTATGGGTGCCCGAGAGTGTCACCTCACTCACCTGGCTGCGGCAGGGGGATGTGTGGCTCACTTCAGGGATCTTCACACCTGAGGCAGAGAAGGCCACCATCCGCAAGCATTTACCTCTATCCAGCCTGAACCCCCTTCCTTCTGGGCCAGAACTCTCCTTGGGACCAAGGAGGAGCAATATCCCCTACCTGGGAGGGTGTCCAAAACCAGTCTCTGGGCAGCCACGGAGCTCACGAGCTTCTCCAGATCCAGCAGCTGCTTCTCCCCTGGCTGTGGGGATAAGTCAGCAGCCCCAGGACAGGCAGCTTACCCTGCACCCTGCCCCCCCCACTGGCACAACTCAACTCACCTTGTGGAGTGACACCTGCTGAGGACTCAGGCCGTGCTTCGCCAGGACAGGCTGCAGTGCCTCCTGCAGCCGCTTGGTGGGCTTGGTGGAGATCCGCACCACATGGTCTGCCAACTCCAGCCTGCACGGGAGCCTGGCGCTGCGATGGGCAAGCCCTCCCGGCTCCCCCACCCACCCATGACAAGCCTCACCTGACTAGGCAAGAAATGGCTCGGTGGGGGCTGACCAGGGAGTGGGGTTGGGCGGTTGGCACAAGAGGTGGCACTCAGAGAGAACAGCAGCCCCAACTGGTGTCCCAGTTGGGCCCCAGACTCAACCTGGAAGGAGCACTCACTCAAAGGTGATCCTGGTCTCCAGCCGCACTTCCTTGTCGGCCAGCACTGTGCAGTCCTGATCCAGAACCAGAGGCTTCTGTAGATACCGGGCAGGGTTTCAGCTTCTCTCCCACCCACTCCAAGCATTTCCCTGATGGGAGGGAGCCACCTTCACCTCCTCCAGTGGCTGACATTGGGTCCCTAAGTCAGAGGGACTCCCAGCGGGCTGGTGAATCAGCAATGGGGATGGGAACAAGAGGCTGGGCTGTGGTTAGAATGTGACATGGCCACCCCCAGGATGGCAAAAATGCTGGGCAGACTTGGAAAAGACAGGTGTCATAGGAAACATGGAGGTGGGCTGAGGCACCAAGCAGAAATGGCTTCGGTAAGGGGTGGTTTAGGTCCTGGGTCTTGAGGTGTCTTCTTCCTGGGCCAGGCCAGCACCTGCCTCCTGGACAGCTGTCCTGTAGTGCCTCAGGCATGAGAAGCCCAACCAGGTCCATCAGATCCATTTCCTCCCTTGCCATCCACATTGGGACAGCTACCCAGGCCTTGTCCCTTTTCGGACATTTGTCTACTTCTCGGTGTTCTCACCTGCTAAGGTCACTTCTTGTTTCCTCACTGCAAAAAGGGTCCCTTCCCCAAGATCCCCAACTAGGATGTGAAGCGGCTGGCATGGGGCCTGGCACACAGTAGGTGCACAAACAATAACTGTAGTGTCTACTGCCTCCAGAGGCCCTACCGCCTGCACGAGGCCCGGGGTGGAGGGGTGGTAGGAAGAAACAGCCTCTCCCGGGGCTAGGCCTATGCTGTTCTGCAGGAACAGGTGGGATGTAGGCGTTGAAGTTATATTTAGCCACTGTGAAAGCCCATCTGGACTGTGAAGGCTGCCAGGGGGTCAGAGAGAGTGGGCAGAGCGCCTCCTATTGCTGCCCTCACTCCCCCGTCAACTGGGCCCTGCACTTGCCCTGTGCTTCTTACCCACTTCCAGACCTCTGCTTCAGCTGTTCCCTTGGCATGTAATGTATTCTACGGGACAGCTCTACGGGACAAACTCCTCCCCGTCTTCATATTGCTACCTCTTCCATGAAGCCTTCCTGGCATCTGTCAGCAATCCTTTCCTCCCTCCCCAGAAACTCTCAATGGGGAGGGGGTTGACTCCTTCTCCCTGATCATATCTCACCTTCAGCCAGTGGCTCACCTTTAGCCCGTGGGCCTAGAGGACAAGCTGACCCACCTGGCAGGACCTTATAGACTTGTCTACTGGGTGGATATCCCCTGGAGTATTCTTTAGCTCTGCCTTACTGGATAGTTTAAGTAGATTTGCCCTAGACTTCCCTTTGAAGTTTAATGCTAGCTTGAGTCTAAAGTGTTTCATGGGTTAGGTGCCACTGAGTGCTCCTGATAGCAGAGGAGGTGAGGGCTCCCCAAAGTGGCCATTTCACTGATGGGCAGGATAAACTCTGGGAGTCATGGAGGAAATCCCAGCTTCAGAAGCGATTCTTCCTAACCCTCCCACCAACTCCCAGAGTCTCTGGGACCACCACAGTGAGGAGGATAGGTGAAGACAGAAACCAGGATGGGGAGAAGATGGGGATAGGATTTTGTAGGACAAAAGTAGGTGTCTGAGTTTGAGTGAGGAGTTAGTGCTGGGCTGATTTAGAATGGGCATTGAGGGGCAGGGTTAGAGTGGAGGCTAGGAAGGGTTAGGAAGGGGAGTGACAGAGATGGGGCTGAAACTAGGGTTGGTCCAGGAGATTTGGAATGGCCTTGGGACTGCGGTCAGGAAAGAATCAAACAGGAAAGGAGTTGGGGTCAGGATCAGAAAAGGAATTAGAGTTGGGGACCAGACCAGGTTCATACCTGCTCATTGCCCACCAGATAGACTTTGACATCAGGTAGAGAGAGGCCTCGTTTCTCACAGATGCCTGCCAGCATGGCACGGATGGTGAGGCCGGGTCGGGCGAGGGCCAAGGAGGCTGTGCCATCGGGCAGGTACACACAGCAGTACTTTCCCAACTGGTTTTCACTGTCACCCTCTGAGCTCCCAAGGCTCTTCCGGTGGCTCTGATTCAGGCAGGAGTGGGGGGAGGTCAAAGACACACAGACAAGGTAGGTACATAGACAGGGAAGCTCATGGGGTGTGCACACACTCACGTCCCAGAGTATGCTGGTTAGACAGGTATACTCACCTCGGTCTATGGGCACCTGGAGACAGGTCCACCCACCTACCTGGGCACCACACATGCACATACATGCACACACACTGCCTGAAGAAGACTGTACCTATGTCACACATGTGAGGACAGACAGAAAGTAAGGCGGCAGAGAGCCCACACTGGGGAGCGAGTCCCAGCATGGAAGTGGGGACAGTGACTGGGAGTGCCCGTGAAGGGGCCTGGCCCTAATCCCAACCTCATCTCCCCCCCACCCCACCCCAGTTGGCTCACCTCAGATTTGCTGCTGACGAAGGCAAGGAAGCCTAGGTCCAGACTGGCAGACGAGTTGAGGGAGCCCTGGGACTCTCTGCGCAAGTTGGGAGCACCCACCGCCAGTTCTGGGGGAGAGGGAGCACTGGGCAGAGTAAACCCTCTTCCCCATACCCACACATCTACAAGACCCTGTGGGGACCCTCCTGCAGGTCTGGATGCCTCGCAGTTTCGCTACTGATGGGGCTGCCCAAACCTCTGGCGTTTAGCCTGGGAACAGAACCACCCGGGGAATGTGGTGGTTACAGGGACATGGGTCGGGGAGGAGGACTCGCGCCCAAATTCCACCCTCACACATCTCTGCCCTCTGATCCTGCCCTCACCCCTGCGGAAGGACTTGCGGAGCTGGCGACCCCCAGGACCCTCAGTTGAAGGCAGCTGTCCCAACTCCTCCACGCCCAGCGGCAGCGACTTCCCGGGCTTCAGCTTCGGCTTCTGCGCGTGCAGGACAGGCGCTGGCACGAGGTGGGCACGAGGCTGGGCGCGAGCCCACGCCATCCCCTGGGCACACGCCTGCAGGCCGCCTCCCACCGCTGCCTCCCACCGCCCGCTCCGCACCTTCCTGCTGGCTTCGGGGCTGCCCAAGTGCGAAGAGCCAGGCTCCCGCAGGGGGCGCCCTTCGGCCTCGGCCAGGAGGCACTCGCGGTACAGTGGAGACTTGACAAAGCGCGCGTAGCTGTCGAACTTCATCAAGTTGAAGATCTGTGGGGCCCACGCCGGGCGGGCGGAGAACCCGAGCGGGCGGTCAGTGGCCGTCCGCGTCTCGTCTCGGGCCAGGGTCTTGGTGTGGGCTGGGGCCCTCGACCCAAGAGCGAGTCCCTGGCCTCGCGGCCTTCATCCTGACCACACCCCGGCCCTTCCTCCCCAGCAGCTTCCAGGGCACGCGCCGCCCTGCGCCCAGGCCCAGCCCCAGCCGTTAGCAGAGTGCCCGCAGCCAAATCCACATCCTTGTCCCTCCACCGCCCACAACCCCATCCCCAGGCTTCGTCCTTAGATCTGGACCCGCTTTGCTGTATGGTGCGACTCTCCCCCAGCCCTGGCACCAGACGGCTCACCTGAAGCTGCTGTGCCCGGAACATATCTGGCCGGGGTTCAGCCAGCACTTCCTCCCCGAGCCAGGCCTGTCTGTCAATGTTCACGGGGCTCAGTGCCTGACTGGACAAGAATTCTTGGTAGATGTTGCGGGCCTCCTGAGCTAGCTGGGGCAGGTGGGACAGAAGGTCAGGGCGCAGCCCATGCCATAACCCCTCAATACTGCTCTGCGCTCTGTTCCAACCCCCTCTTCCCCAACCTGTTTGGTGTCACTAGCCGGGATCTGCTGGAAGCGCTCACAGGCCTTCCAGAAAGTCACATTCTCAGCGCTGAACTCCTTCTTCAGGAACTCCTTGGGGATAGAAGGAGGGGGCAGTCAGACACACAGAGACCCTGTTAGGGGAGGCATTCAGGAGACTGGGTAGACCCAGGGCTAAGAGGCCAAGTCAGCTGCCCAGATCAGGAGGAACGAAAGAAAATGAAAGGCAGAGACAAGACAGAAAAAAGAACCTTCTCAGCTGGGAGAAGAAGGCGACAAAGAAAGGCTGGATGAGGCAAATGACAAAGGAGTCCCACCCTGACCAGTCTGAAGGTCCATCCTCAGCCTCTCTCATTCCTCCTTCCCCCCCACCCCGCCAGCTGCTGCCATTCTCCCTCCCTATCCCACTTCAGGGCTTACGGTGAAGTAAGCCAGGCCCAGGGGGTCCTGTAGCAACCGCTCAAAGGACAGGGCCCAGCTGGCCACGGGCTGGTCCTCAGTAGGGAAGGGGCCGCTGGGGCCACTGGGGAGGCTGTGGATGCTGAGGGAGCTGCCTCGGCCTTCACTCTGGCCCTGGGAGCCCGCCGTGCTGCTCAGCTCTGCAGAGGGGTAGATGGATGGAGGTGCGCCCTGCTGTCCTCCCCAGCCCCCCACCCCACCCCCAACCCCAGGCAGAGCCACTGCACCTGCACAGGTCCTCTCTCCCAAAAGACAGCAAGTGACAGGAATGTCCCCGCCCCTTTTCGTCCCCTCCCCCTGCTCCACCACCACCAGGCAGGCTTTCCACACGTACCCTGTCACTTACCTCCATCTGAGACAGCCAGAACCTACAAGAGACCAGGGTGGAAAGTCAGGACAGTGCCCACTCGGATCCCTAAGGGCAGCTCCAGGCCCATCACCCAGACTGGAGCTATATTCTCCTCTGCCCAGAAGGCTGTGCTGGGCAATCCTGGCCAAATCCCTGCTGGTCAGCATTTGTTCAGGCTGTCCCTGGCCCCAACTACCAAATGCCAATCAATCACCATACATTGGGACTTACCAGTCCCAGTCAACCTTTGAGTCACCCTTGGCTCCCTCCTCCACCAGCACAAAGCGTGGTGGGTAGAAACACTTGCCATCTGTGTGCCTTTGGCCAAGTGACTTGTCTCTATCTGTGACCAGGAGATGATGGCAACTTACTTCTAGGGACTGTTGTGAAGATCAAATCAGTGTAACGTATTTCTAGCATCCAGAGCAGTGGCCAGCATGTGGCAGGGGCTCTGTTAGTACTTGCGGTTGTCTTTGAGGAAGGAAAGGTCTCTCTACAGCCATGAACCTCCTCATTTCAACTCATAGGGCCCAGGGTCTTCCAGGGGTGCCTTCCTCACCTCAAGCAGGCACAGGACATTTGGTAGTATTGAGAAGGGGTTTTTCAACTTTAGGATGCAGTAGGTAGGGAGAAGCCCACCTCCAGTTTCAAGTTCAAGAAGGTGCAGTTTGGGGTCTGAGACACCCCATTTCTAACACACTCCCAGGGAGTCAGTGTCTGGACCACCCTGTGAGCAGCAATGCTGTAGAGGCCAATTCTATGCTCACCCCCCAGCCTGGGCTCCAGCTTTTCTAAAGCATAGCCCTGACCTCTCTGGGAATCCCAACTACTAGTGAAACAAACCAAAAAAACCTCCTTTCAAAATGACTCTTACTGTAGTTTCCTTTACTCTTCTGCCTACTTTTCTAGCAGCCCCCCAGCTTCCTCATCACCTTCTACCCAAGCAAGGCAGACTCCACACCCCACCTCTCTGTGTGCTCTGGGAACCTCCTCCGTCCCACCTACCTCCAGGCGCAGACACACAGTTTCCGCTAGCATTACCCCTCCGAATGTCCCAAAAGCCCCTCAAACTCAGCTGGTCCTAAGTGGAAGCCATGGAAGCCACCACCAAAGCAGGCCACCGCACAGGCTTCCCCGCATCCTGTCAACCTTCCCGTCACCTGCTTGCTGACACCAGACTGAGTCACCCCAAGTCCTTCCTCCCTGGACCTTCTCCGCTTTCACTAGCTTGTCACCCAGCGCTTTCACCACCTGTCCCTTTGTGCCATCCTCCCCCTGGAAACAGGTCTCCAACCATGTCCTCCCCAGGAAGCCTCTCCCTGACCTCATGCTGGAACCCTACTCTCCCACGGGCTCACCCTCATGGGAGTACCCAGCTCCCAGCTCTGCAGGCCACACTGCTCTGCACATTCTTTGGACATTGTTATCTTGGTCCCCCGAATGTTTTTTTCTTTTTTCAGTTTAAAGGTAATACAATTAAAAGTTAAAATATGCTTCTCATGTTTAAAAACCAGGGGTGTTACATAAAATCTCTGCCTTCTGTCTCCTTTTTAAGACTGGAACCCCCTTTCTCCTGAGCTTCTTTCCAGCTGAAAGCAGCAGGGAAGTTTCTGTGAGGGGCTGCATTCGCACTCGCAGGGGCCTCTGGGGCCGGCTGGACGCCCTTATGGAGGCAGACGGCCTGGGCCTGGCTTCAAATTTGTGCTATGTGACCTTGGACAGGATACCTCATCTCTCTGTGCTTCGTTTCTTCCTTTATGAAAGTGGGGCAAATAATGTCCGAACTTCAAAGGGTGATTGTGATTAAATATGCATAAAGAATCGAGGACACTCTCCGTCAGCCCTGTTGTCCTTGGTTGGTGCTGGGGTTTGAAATGCGGGACATTCTCCACGTGTGGCGGAAAGAGCGCAGGCGCTGCAGACTGGGACTCAGCCCCAGCCTTCCCCACTTCTAGTTTTCCAACTTGTCTCCTGAGCCGGGCTCCCACCTGGGGCGCAGGCGTAAGAGAAGAGGGTGTGCACACAGAGAGTGGCCCTGGGCCTGCCGTCCCACCACCCCGCCCTTGGCATCCTGCTCCTACATTTGTCCACTTCGCCCCGCTGCTGTTGGAGAAAGTCCCGACTCCTGGGGGGTGAGCGGAAGAGCAGAAGCCCAAGGTCCCTCCCAACTCGCTCTTTCTCTTCCTAGCGGCTTCCTCCGTCCTCACCTCCCCAGCCTCTGTGCCACCCTCGCTGCCACTGCCCTGCCACTGGGTCTCTCAGGAACTCCCAGCCTCTGGGCTGGTGCCTGGCGCGCTCACCTCCCTTCAGCCCAGGACTCAGCTTCTTCTTGTTCAGCCTCTTCCCCCAAGGCTGCTGGGACAGGCCAGGAACCCCAGGGAGGGCAAAGGTGCCAATCCACATGCCTCTCTCACTTTGTTCTTTATTTCCAGTGTCTGTGTCTTTAGGTAGGGCTGGCTCCCAGGCCCCCTGGCCTGACTCCCGGCCCGGGAGGGGGAGCAGTTGCCAGGTTACAGCGGAAATTCTGCCTGGTAATGAGCCCCTTTACCTTCCTCCACTTTCCTCCCCCTCACGCCCTACACTTTATCAAACTTTTCTATTGTCTTCATGCCCCTACTCACTCCTGCTTCCTGCTTTGCTGTTTTTCCTGCCTGGGTTTCTACTCCTGATGTCCCCCCCCAACCCGCCCCCCAACAGCTCTCCAATCTCTGCCTGTTGACATCAGTCATCGCCCAACACCAGTGGCCCTGAAGCCCCTTTCTCACCACACCTCTGCCCACTGGTGTCTGGGTCCCTTTCCCTTGCCAGCCTGGGAGCTCCCTCCTAGAGTAATGGCCTAGTTTGGAGGTGGGAACCAAAGTGAATCCCCCCCTCACACAGGCACCTCCTTGCTCCCTGCCCCCCAGCAGACTTCAGGGCCCCAAATAGCTCTCCTCTGCCCTCCCAGGACTCCCAATACCCCCTTCCTAGGGGTGCTCTTCCTTGGAGCACTCATCTTTGTGGTTCAGAGTTCACCTTCCAGAGCCCCTCTTGCCCACTGGTTGTTGATTCCTAAAGGGTATGAGCAGAGATCCAGGGAAGGAACGGAGCAGAGATGGAGTCCAACCCCGCTTCTGACCTTTGGGGGCAAGTAACTTTGCTTCCCTGAATCTCCCTGGGTAGCCTGTGGCTCGGCATTCCCCACCTGCTGGGTGCTGCTGGGAGGGTGCAGGAAGCCCAGGCCTCCATGTGAAAGCTTAAGCAGGCAGCCCATGGAACAGCAAGTCCAGGCATTGGGGGGGGGGGGAGTCTGGGGGAAGCAAATGGCTGCCACCTGCCCAGCCTTTCTCTAGGCCTGGGGAAGTTATTCAACTGGCGCTGCCTTCACTCCACTCTGGCCTGCCTGAGAAGTGGGGAGGGAATGGGAGAAAAGAGGAAGGAAAGATGAGGAAGGGTGTGGTGGCCTGTGACACCCCTCCCATGTCAGGTCTCAGTTTGGCAGACTTCTTTTCTTAAGAAATGGACCCTGGGGAGCTGCCGGTATGGGAACATACGAGATAGCCCAACATGGCCTGAGCGCTGACTGTGTGCCAGGCACTCTCTGCCAGCACACACTCGTGTTCTCACACCATCCTGGCATCCTGTCCCATTTAACGAGAGAGGGAAATGGAGGCCAAATAAGTCACAGAGCAGGAAAGTGGCTAAGCTAAAATTGCACTCAAGCGTGCCTAACTCTGGAGTCCAATGTCTTCCCTCCCCTGGCAGACAGGAGAGCAGGAGGCCCAGGGCCTCAGTCCTGGGGCACAGGTGGGCAAGGTTAGGGATAAAGGGTCCAGGGGCTCCTCTTGAACTCTGCCCTCTGGAGGGAATCAGGCCTCAAAGGGAAGGCTGAATTAATGAACATCTTCTGTGCCCTCCTAGCTTGGGGAAGGCCAGGTGCAAAGATCTTCCCTGTGTAGGCCCACAGAGAACCCTGAGCACCAGGGCCTGGCCCCATGCTGGACACTAGGAAAGAGAGAACAGTACAGTGCACTCTGCATGCAGGCCTCCCTGTCAGTGGAAAGACAAAATGCCCCCCCCGCCCCGGGGAACAAGCCACAATAATCATGCCTGTCTGGACTTCAGGCCTAGCCTCTCCCCATTCACCTGTGTCCCCCACCCTGCTCCCCACATCCTTTGCCCAGCACTTCCTCTTCCAGCAGGCGGGTCGTGACAGGACATCTGCAGTGCCATGATGCCCAGAGTGGGGAACTTGTGTCTCCCCCGGTCTTCCTTTAGTTTTCTCTACCCCTGACCTGACTCTTCTCCCCAGATCTGAATTTTTACTCTGGTCTTTGCACCTATGGTGCCATACCCAGAGCTGCTTGAGGGCAGAGGCTGGGCCTGGGGGCTCTTAACTAAAGGAGTGAGAGAGTGAAGAAATGCGGTGGTGGCCGGGGCAGTGTGAAGACCTCGCTGGCAAAGGGGCTGGGCACCTAAGTGACAGGTTTCACTGCAACTGCCTGACAGGCTGAGTGGCAGGCTGACAAATGAAGCCGTGTCAGTGGGGAATGACAGCAGGTGGGGGTGGCGGCAGGGGAGGTAGGCGAGGGCGCCAGGCAGTTCAGGGAGGAGGAGGAACCCCTGCATTGAGTCAGAGGATCCAGGCTCCCAGGTGGGCTCCTCAACCTGCGATGGCCGTCAATCAGTGTGATATCCCCCTCTGAGCCTCCCACAAGGAGGGGCTCATGGAAGGGGTCAGACACCCAGCCCCCAAGGGGTCTGGCACACCCCTGCCACCCTCTCTGTCAGTCCAGCATGGTCTCAGAGAACATGGCCAGTAAGCCACCCATCGGTGGCCCTCCTGATTCCAAGGGGTGTCACAGAGAGTTGAGAAAGACCCCGGAAGGACAAAGATGCACTGTGCTGCTGAGAGAAGCCAGGACTGCCCTGAGCTAGGAAGAGCTGCCACCTTCCTTGCTCTGAATGACTTTTGGGGAAAGGAGCCAAGGGTTGATGTGGGAGGGGCAGAGGCTAGATCTGTTTCTGGGACCCTCTGCAGGCCTGGAGGGTGTGCACAGCCTGAAGGCCCTCTGTGGTAGACTGGGTGCCCAAGAAGGGTTAGCCCAGCACCCGGCCGCTAACTTGGAGGCCCACAGGTTGCTGAGTGTCCCATGGGTGCCCACCATGGGGCTGTGACACAGACACAGTAAGACAGAACTGGGCCAGCTTAGTAGAATTTGCCTCTCCTACCCAGCTCGCCTGGGCCTGGGCAAGAGGAGATGCTAAAAGGAGAGGTGGGGATAGGTCATGGGAATTAGAAGGCAGGAGAGGGGGTGGAGGGGTGTCTCAGGTTCTCGGTGAGTCAAGGGATCCTTGAAGAGAGGCTGAGAATGAAGGGAAGCATCAAGATGACATTTATGGAGCCTCCACAGCAAGTGGAACAGGGACCCCCACACTGATTTTCTACTTAATCATCTCAGTAAGTCTTTGAGATGTGTTCCAATCTCTTCATTTTAAAGGTGACGAAACAGGATAGGAGAGAAGCCCTATAACGGACAGCAGAGCCGAAACTTAAGTCATCGGCTTTGTCCCACTGTACTAGTTTGGGGCTGGTTTGGGAGGAGGGTCTAGACATTGTATGGTCCCACTAGGGTTGTTAGGATGGGCTGGGGATTGGCAAAGGTGGGGGGTAGCACAGGTTACCCCATCTGCTGAGTGAACAGAGGAGCTGAGGGCAACTCTGTCAGGGAGGAGGCTTTAGGGGTGGGGCAGCGGCAGCATCCCAGTGCTTAGCTGCCTCCACCCTTCCTGCTAGGTCAGAGATAGAACAGAGAGGTGCAACCTGACCAGATCCTGCTGGCCTACCCGGGCTGCCAAAGGACTGCTAGTATCTAGCAGGAAGCTGAGGGAGCAGGTCTGGCTGGTGGTCAGTGCCCCAGTGGGTGCTGCCCCTAAACTAGCCTTGGACCTTGGGCATCACACTGTATGGTAAGGAGGAGAAGGCTAAGTGAGGTATGAGGCTTAGACCAGGAGAGGGGTGGGGGAGGGAAGGGGGTGTGCACCCGTTTCTTCTCCCTGCTGCCCTAGGATATGGGCCTCCCCCAACCCTGCCAAAGTAGCAAGTGAGAGAGCAACGGGGGCTGGCCCGGACACTTAAGTCCTCTGCTCTTGTCTCATCTCCAGGGTCACTCAAGTCTCTAGCGAGGACTTCTAGGTGGTCCTGGGGTGGAGGCACCAGTTCCCACACTCTGCTGCTGTCTGTTCCCAACTTCTCCCACCCGCTAGCAGCATGCAGGCTCTTGCCCAGCCCCACAGGCTGTGCCTCCTGGGCTCCACCCTGGGTGTGTCCACACCCTCCCCGTGGGCCTGGCCCACAGCCCGCACTCACCATGCGCCCGTTGGGGACACCCAGGTGCTTGGGCTTCCCTGGCATGCCGTCGTCGCTGTTCACAGGTCCCCGTCGCGGGGAGTGCCCACCATGGGGACTGTGGGCAGCGCCGACCAGAGCTTGAACAGCAGCAGGCAGGTGGTAGGCCGGCAACTGAAAGAGCCCTGCTTCACTCCCGCAGGCCCTCACATCCTGAAACAGCAGCTCACTACCTCTTTTCTCTGCCACAGGAAGTGTCTCTATAGAAACCGAACCACAGAAAGCAAGGTCTAAGAGAACGAACGCCTCTTCCTACACACACACACACACACACACACACAAATTCATGCGCACACACATGCCACCAACGCACCCTTGCCAACACCCCACACAGGCACCAGCACTCAGCAGAGGTTTCTCTGCGCCCAGCAAGGAGCCCAGCTAGGTCTGGTTCAGCCCAGCACAGAGAGCTCCACGGTCATGATCACATGTCTAGCACCTGTGTACACTCTGCAGGGGCTCCTGTGGCCATGTGCACACCTGTACCGAGTCTCCACGCGTGTACTTTACTCAGCACATTTACCTCACACCTGCTTATCTCACAGTGGGCTTGTGCACACTCACACCCTCCCTTGGGCAGTGCCATGTGTCGTTACTACCTCTATCCCTGGGCACTTCCCACCGAGGGAGTGTGAAGCTGGACACATACAGACCACTCAGGTATACAAGTATTAAAAGCACATAGGCTCTCCCTCATGAGGAGCACTTGGGGTCCGTGTAGAGTCCTTTGGGTAGGTGCTAGTGACAGGCACACCAGCACCCAGGCATATGTGGCCTCAAACAGCCCCAAGACATGTGCAACCAGGTGCGTACACACTCACCACCTGGGTGGTGTGTCTGCACCCAAAGACCTAAAAATTCCACCTTGGGGTAGTAGTGTACCTTTCTGTGAGTATGCTCGTTATTCCATACTTTATACATTAGGAAACTGAGACTGAGAGAAGTGAGGTGCCCAAGTTTACACATCAAGTTAGGGATCTGTTAAGCTTAGCAGATATGAACGTGTGTATGGGACAGTGGGGATACCAGTCGTTTGGCTGTAGCCATGACCAGCCCAAGGGGCCACAGCTCATCTTCCTCCCTCCCAAAGGTCCTATCACGGGACCCCTTCTTAAGGTCATTCTTCCCTGCTGCTGCAGAGATACCTCTGCACATCTGCATTGTAGAAGTCAATTTCAGCTCTGACCACTTCACTCTAGGGGCCCCAGTCAACTCTGGGATTTCTCAGCTTGATCCCCTGGGATTGGTAAAGCACCTCCATCCCTAGAACATTGTTCTCAACTTCTTTTTCCTGGTTTCCTACACTGGATCAGGTGCTGATGTTTAGTCTCCCTGTGGGACTTGGGATCTTCCTTCCCTGTGGAGACCTGGCTGGTTGAAGTCTTGTCCTCACTCATCTGCTCACGATGACTTCATTTTCAACCTTCCTACCTGTTACTTCCCTCCAATCTCTTATTACTATAGCCAGAGAAACCTACCTTTGGCACTCCCATGCTTAAAATCACCACCACCGCCTTCTAGAAGGCCATGTTCCTTAGCTGGGAACTGACGGCCCTTCTATTTCAGATCTCAGTAAGACTCCAGATTCATTAACACCTGTCTTCCCAGCCTCCAGTCTTTCCAAACAGCTTTTGCTCCTTATGTTTTCGGACCTCCCTCCCTGCCCTTGTATTTCCTGTTCCTTCTGCTAAGAATACTTTCACCTTTCTAATCTTCCTTCATTACCCAGTTCTAGAACAAATATTCACTCTTTTGCCAATTACTTGTTAATCATTCCTATGTGTAGAACACTCTTCTAGAGATTGGAAATCCAGGTACAACCATAGCTGACAAAAATTCCAGGCCTCATGGAGGTCTAGTGTAATGCCCATGCTTCTGTTGGATGAAAAGAGATTGAAGACCAAATGGCAGATGTTTGTTGTAGAGAAGTCTGTACTTTATGTATATATGCATGTTATTACTTGAGTAATAGAAAAGCTAACTAAAATTTTATGATCCAGAAAAGATGTCATAGCACATAATCCTGAATAAATTCATTCACTCAAATGGGTAGCTTCTTAAAGAATCACAGGACTACACCTGTGATTTCTAACAGGTGTACAATTTCTAATTGTAGCAGCCAGAGAAGCCAGGAAGGGGCTGTAAACTAGTGGCCAGATGGAGACCAGCTTAGAAGAGGAAGGCACTGGTAGTACCATGGGTCTGGTGTGGTTTATCTTCCGATCTTTCCTGAGATATCGGAAATTTAGACTTCAAAAGTGAATTTAAGTCTCCTGCTTTAAAAAATACCTGTAGTTACATCATTACTGAAATAGCCTGGGCAGGTAAGAGAGCTCTGTGAGATAGTGCTTGACCTCTGGTCCATAGTCAGTTTTCCTGGGCCTTTCTTGGATGCTTCTTGCTGCATTAAGCGGGCACCATGTTCTGGATGGATCACAACCGTCCCTGGGGGTCCAGGTCAGGATCCGGGCGGCTCCTCCTGCTTAAACTCAACTGGTCCTGAGAAGCTGGGAGTGGCGGGTGCCAATAACCGGCTGCAAAGGTGTGAAAGGCAGAGGCTGGTGAACCCAAACTCCGCTGAAGGACTGCCCGGGGCCACTTAAAAGTCCGAGGCAGCGCGAGACTGGAATTCAGTCTGCCGTGTTCAGTACAGAGCCTCATTTCCCCCCGGGACTGAGCAAGGTCACTGTTAAGATGGTATTCATGGCTTGCTGCGCAGGGCTGCAGGACAGTCCCGGTCAGCTCACTCCACGCCAGAGGTCCCGCAGACCACCCGCGCCCGGCAGCCGACTCAAGCTACCTGTGGGTTTCTCGTTGGCCGACAAGCCTAACGTGCTAGTCCAAGATTGGCTGCGGTTCTTGTCGATCGTTAGAACGGCTGCTGAGGCTGGCCCACATTTGCCTCGTCGTCTCCAAAGGGATGGGAAGGCACGCGACGGGGGGTGGGGGGTTGGGAGGGGGGAATGCTAAGCTTAAAAAAAAAAAGTCGCCGCTTCGGCTGAGAGGCCTTGCGTTTAACTCCTCGGTGACACTAGCGTTGGAGGGTTTCCGGCCGGAGGCCATTAGATGGCACACCCGGAAGGCGGAAGCTCTAGGCGGAAGTGGCTGAGAGGAGCGGAGAATGGCGGTGGAAGGCTGGATTTGGCGCTGGGGCTGGGGCCGGCGGTGCCCGGGAAGGCCTGGGCTTCCCGGCCCCGGCCCTGGCCCCACCTCACTTCTCCTTCTCCTGTTTCTGGGGCCGGTGGCTTCAGACATAACTGACGGCAACAGCGAACACCTCAAGCGGGAGCATTCGCTCATCAAGCCTTACCAAGGTGAGGCCTGGGGCGTGAGCGCCAAGCAGGACCGGGTTGGAAAGGGGCGCATTTTCTCCTGAGCTGAGCAGCCCTGTGGTTTCTTGCCTTTGGCAAGGCCAAGCCTGGTATGGGCTTTTACACACCTGTCTGTGCCTTACAAAGAACGTGCGTTTTCGGTCTCTGCCCACAGGGGTCGGTTCCAGTTCCATGCCCCTCTGGGATTTCCAAGGCAGCACGATGCTCACCAGTCAGTACGTGCGTCTGACCCCGGACGAGCGAAGCAAAGAGGGTTCCATCTGGAACCACCAGGTGAGTGGTTCCTAAGTGTCTGGGCAGACCGTTAATGAGCCATCACTCCGGTCTTTCAGCAGCCTAGTGGTTTGAAGGCACGTGCTCCCTCCCCGCGTCCCTTCCCCATCTTGGTCACTCCCACCCTTAATAACAGGTAATGACTGGACTTTACTGTGTGTCTGGAGCTGTGCTTGACATTTTCCATCCTCCTCATTATATTCTTTAAAAAGCCATGTGCAGCATCAAGTGGTGTCTTCTTCATTTTACTGACCCAGAAGTTGAGACCATTAGTTGCAAGTGCTTTACCCAAAGTCACAGTAAGCAGTGGAGCCCACGGGCTCTTTGAAGCCTTTCAGTAGTGGGGTACAGGGAATGACTGGGGACTTTATTGGGTATTTTGCTGTGTGTTAGACACTGACCTAAACGTGCATTATAGCATTTGGTGTTCAAATAGGCTGTTTGAATAAATAGGTTGTTGCGATGTGATGCAGAGCTAACACAGAGACGGTTGTAAGCAGTACTTAAACTTCATGTCTCTGATCTCCAAGCCTAGCAATCCGCTTGGTACATTTCACCCCCTCCACTTGGACAGTGGAGGAAACCCCAGAGAAATACTTGCAGACTCAGCCCCCTCCCCCAGTGCTTGGTTGATGAGTACCAGGGAGAGACTGCATTTGTGGGCAGTTTTAGTTTCTGTGACCTTTACTCTGAAGGTCAGGAAGCCTTAGGTGTCAGCTGGAATGCACAGGTGAGCAGTGGCCAAGCCAGCTGCTGTACAGACTCCATATTGATATATTGTAGTTCAAGAGAGGGGAGAAAGGGAGTAATTTTGGACAGAGGCACTGCTTGGAACTGAACCTGTTCCTGCCCCAACCTGACTGGTCTTTATCCTTTCCACAGCCTGACTGTTGGCCTGTGTCTTAGTTTTCTCCATCCTTTAGTCCTTTCTGGCTGCTTTCCCATTTAGGTCTGTCCTTGTGTTGCCTCATCTGCCTCAGCAACTCCTACGCTGGGACATCTGGAGTTATTTTCTTCGGTGTTTGTTCTGATTCTCAGAGCCTGGGGTCTCCTGTGAAGTGGTAAATGTGCATTATGTGAAGTGGTAAATGTGCATTATGTCTACACAGTCTGGCCTCTGGTGCCTGGCATCTCCAGTCACTCGCTTTTTTGGTTTTGTTCATTCTCTCTGGCTGCCTTCTTGCCTTAGGACCTTTGCACTTGTTCCTGAAGTCTGGGACACGGCCTTCTGGCGCTTCATGCTTATTTGATTCCTTCTCATCTGTTAACTCTCAGCTCGAGTGCCACCCACTCAGACAGTACTTGTTAACTACCTTACCTTCCCCAAGTCACCACAGTCTGTCACATTATTCTGTCTTAGGGCTTTCAGTTAATTTTTAAAAATGATAATGTAGCCTTATATTTTTCATGGAAATGAGTTCAGTATAGCACTGAGGTTCCTTCCCCCCCCCCCTTAAGAAGGTACAAATAGTGCTAGAACTATTTGAAATTGGGTTTAGTCACAAGTAATTTAATTATAGTTGTAGGTAGCTGGTGGTTGGCATTGTTGATAGTTTGGCTATGTCACAGGGCTGAGAATTCTGCACTATATTCATCAGCTTTCCACAGCTTAGAATATGATTGTCTTGTCTTTCCTTCACCTCCAGATTCAGTTCTAGGGACCTTTTTATTTGGTCTGGCAGGGACTCCCTTAACAGCAGGAGTGTTTCCTATGTTTCCTGAGAAAAATTCCTTGAGACTAAGTCTCTACTCAGTGCTTCCAAGAATCATGCCTCTGTCTTCGGTGAACTGGAGAGATGCTTTCTGGACTTTTCTCTTTTTTATCCCCCTCCTTCCTGTCCTGGGAGAGGCACCAAATTAGCAAGCACTCCTGAGCACCTGCTGTCTTTCAGCGTGAGATAAGACTTTGGTGTGGGGAAGAAGGGCGGGGACCGAAGGAGTGTTCCTGTTGGAAGGAGAATCCTAGGGGCCTGCTGGCTGGGGCACAGGACAAGGAGAAGGCCTGAGGGACTGATAAGGCCCTTGGAGCAGGGCTTAGGGGCTCATGTGGAGGTTGTAATAGTGGCCTATAAGCACATTTTACTGATGTACTGGCTGAAAGTATGTATACATATATCCCCTTGCACTTTTTTATAAGCTGATACCCAAAATTACTTAAAATATTTGCAAAGGACATAGTTTCCAGCATGTTTCAAATGTTGCCCTTTAAAAATAAAAACAAGGCCTCCCTGGTGATACAGGTGTTAAAGACATAGCACTATCAAGCAAGTACCAGCCACTGCGATTTGAGTTTGACAGCCAGGGAGCTGACCCACATGGGGCAGCGGACTTCTCCTGACCCTGCCTGCTGCGTCTCTCAGCAGTGTGTTTCAGTAGATCCGTCTGCTGTGTTGCCTTCTCTGCCTCTGGTGAATACTATCACCCCCCCACACACCTCTCACCTACACCCCAGTTCTTATATGCATAAATAAATCTTAAAAAAAAAAAACAAAGCAAAAATACTCTTAAATGTATTCAGAGGAATCTAAATATTACCATTCGGTATTCATTTTTTTTTAAAGATTTATTTATTTATTCATACAGAACTGGGGTACAGGCCAGAGATGTGGAAGGTGAGAGGATTCACCAGACCCAGAGTGGGGAGCAGAACAGGCAGATCGACGAAGTACACTGCTGAGGAGAGCAGCGGGCGGGTCAGGAGAGGTCTGCCACGCCATGTGGATCTCCTCGGGGCAGGCGGGGATTGAACTCATGCGGAAGTGGCTTAAGCTTCTTCTTAGTGCAGTGTTTTAACCTGCTGCACCACCAGGGAGGGCCTCATTTTTTTTTTTTTAAACAAACTTTGGGTGCTTTTTATTTTGCATATAAGAACCACCTGTTTGGATGTGCAATACCATATAAATAGCATGTTCCAGTGCTCATGCACAGCAAAGAACAAATACCTTAAGGCTTACTTTACTATCAGTGCAATTTCTTTTGTGTTAAGAGGTAATGGCCTCTACTGACAATAACTTGATTTAGATCACTAAGTGGCTTCTGGGAGGAGAATGGCCTGGGTTCAAGGCTAGGCATCAGCTCCTCCTTTGACTAGCTGGAATTAAGACCCCAGCAAAGTAATTTAGCTTCTCTGGGTTTCAGTCTCCTCATCCATGCATGAGGAAGCTAATCAGAGTATTGGTTAGTGTTATCAATATTGTTTTGAATATACCCCCTTTGAGAATCTCAGTGGTCTTTTTCCTAGAAATGCTCAGATAATTATGCACAGAAGATTGTGAGCAATTATCAAAGCATTCATAGATGAGCAGAAGGTCCCTTCTTTTTTTTTTTTTAACATCTATTTATTTATGCATTCAGAACTGGGGTACAGACCAGAGTTGCAGGGTTAAGAGGATTCACCAGAGACAGAAGTGGGGAGCAGAACAGGCAGATTGACAGAAATACACTGCTGAGGGGAGCAGTGGGCAGGACAGGAGAGGTCTGCCACATCATGTGGGTCACCTTCCTACCTGCAGTGGCTGCAATGGCTTCATAGTACTGTGCTTTTTAACCCATTGTACCATCAGGGAGGGCCCCCCTTCTTTTTAAATACTATGATGAAGCCCAAGTTTATACGTCAGGTTTTTGTTGTTTTTTTTTTTTTAAAATTATTTAAATCTGGGGTACAGGCCAGAGGTGCAGGGGTGGTGAGAGGGTTCACCAGAGACAGAGTGGGGAGCAGAACAAGCAGATGAATAAAGTACACTGCTGAGGAGAGTAGCGGGTGGGTCAGGAGAGGTCTGCCGCGCCATGTGGTCACCTCCGGGGTGGGGGTCGAACTCA